ACCTTGCGCTACAAGGAGTTGCACGCCCTCAGGGCCAAACAAGGACATCAGCTTATTAAGCCCGTCCTGCATGCCCTGGGGCAAAAAGAAAAATTTCTCCTTCCTCGCAGAGGATCAGTCTAAACGACTCAGGTGTAGATTGACTACAACTGCTACCAAGCGCCACCAAGTGCAGCGGGGCCGCCGTAGTTTTGCGCTTGAGGAAGCGTAATTTAGTCACCGCCCTTTCGTTCTTTAAAAGAACCAATACGAGTGTATCGGATCGCAATCTGCTACCTCCAAGAGTAGTTAGTACCTTGACTGAGGCTAAAAGCCTTTTCGGTTTAAATTTTTATTTATTTTATCTGCGGCAAAGCCGCCTAATTTTAAATGTTTAGATTTTCCTATATATAATACATGCATAACTACTGGTACCTAGCCACATATCGTATTCTTTTTTTGGTGCAGTCACACTATGCCCATCTCGTGTGACATACACCCCTGTTACCAGTGTACGTGTAACGTGAGCTCCTACCCACATCTGGCCCTTTTGCGACTTCTCGAGGACTTAAGCTATTCAATCGCGTTCAGTTGAACTAAAGACATGTGCTCAAACATCTCATATACAATCTTAAAGTTCTTGACAGATCGATCATGGGATTAAATACGGGTGCTTACAAGTGTGCAAGGTTGCAGGGATGTTTGCACAGAAGGAGGTTTGTTTAACGGGCTCGCGTCAATAAACACGAAGAGGCTTGGCTGTCACGTAGCACGCAAGAAAAGAATAAAGAGAGCCGTTGATGTAAGAAATATTCAATTATCATCGCTATCAAAAAGCGACATATAAGCAGGATTTATCTATCAAAACCATAACTGAAACATACATTTACAATATCTCATAATAACACTGCCTTTATTGTCTGACGTACAACAGTAAAGTACTTACTTTGTTGCCGCGAAGCCGTAAGCGTTAAAGACGCAAAAATAATCTTGCCGAATTTAAATCTTGAAATTTCAAAGTTACAGTAGCACATCAATCTTTGAGATACTAGCTTTACCCTTTGTGGATGCGTCGACAAACTATCTGCTCCATACAGATGTCACCTTCACCTTGCCCATCAAAGCAGGCGGACGGTGATCCTCACGTGACTGTACTTTAGTATTCGTGTTGCGGTGTTTCGATCATTTCCAAATTCTCATGACCGTCGTAGTCGCGCAGCTCAATCAATTAGATTTTATCATTTAAGTGACAGATAAAAATCGAGATGGTGCGTTTTAGTAAAATAATGCTTAGCCAATGAGTCTGTTGAGACGTTGATATGTCGCCACTCAAAAAATTCGCGCCCGAGTTGCTAACGAGATCATGAGAGGGAGGCGTTGTACGACCTTTGTTAGCCCGCATAAAAGTATTGCACTTCTCGAGGATACTTCTAGTCTAATTTGATCTCTTTTCTGAATGCGTCAATAAATGGTTCAATGTAGCGATTAGTCCCACGAATTGCATACACAGCATGTGTAGGAAGGATTGTTCATAGCCCTAGGCGAACCCTTTCTCGTACTACATATTGATGTTTGTTTCTTCTGACCTAGGTATCGGTATATCCTGTCTTTTCTGCTTAGTGTCACGTTCTTGGCCGATGAGGCTCAATCAACTTGATATGAGATTACTCATAGCCATTTGGCTAACGCGTATCCTCCAACCGCCAATCTGCAGATGGTCCTCAGTAAAAGTATCCAGCCTATTGCCGAAAATCTTCGACAACGCTCGCCTGATTCTGCTGCAAGCGCGATCTCGATCCTAAACAATGTTCACATGCAAGACTTGTTGGTGATAATCTAGTTGAGAAATAGCTCGGCTGGTTCTTCGTCTTTATTGGTGTCATTGAATGATCAAAAGAACCTATTTCCTTCAGACAGCCACAATACAGATACTGCCAGACGCTGGAATCGCCTCCATCAGTACCAGATATATGGTACCTTAGAGCTTGCACAATTGCATGCAAGTGTTTCATGCGCATGCACCCACCTGAACAAGTGGTATGTTAAGTTTACTTTATCATCGAAGCTCAAGAGAACAAAACTGAAAGCAGCTACACCAAGTTTTTTAGAGAGTGGAGGCAAATGTTGCAGTGATTTGTAAATTCGAACGTGTGCTTTCTATTTCTGATCCGGGAATTATATAATGGGGATGGTTCCGGGTTCATACGCAAATCACTAACAGATCTGTGTCTCAAAAATTTATGAGTACTTTTAATTCGGCAAATTGTCAAATGACTGATTTTTACACCGGGCTGCCTGCCCATAATAAGCTGCATCTGTCAAGTTTCCATCTGTTCTCCATGCTTCACCCCGTCAGGGTGCCCCTCGAGGTGGCGCGTTCGCATAGCTTGTGAGCACATCCAGATGCAAGGAAACCCATATCTTAAACAGTCTCTCGACCCCTCGGGACCAATATAAGACATAAATTTACCGAACGTCTCTTGAACAATGGTGCTGGGACATCCTATGTTTCGTGGCATAGTCTTTTCATGACTCAGTTGTAGTTGACCACAAGTCTTATCAATTGCAACACAAGTACCGTGCACAATGTACAGTAGAGCTTTGTCCAGTCAGCAAAACAGTGACCGGGCTCGTAGTCTCTACCCAGGAGTGAAGGTAAAGGAATCTAAATCGATACGACTAATAAACTTACTCTGCAATTTAAGAGAGTAATCGATTTGCGGATGGTCAAGATCTGGTAGATCCAATCTGGTGCCGTGCACCTTGAGCGACGTACGCCAAAACTTCACTTTAGGGCACGAATATGTTTCTGATGACATATCAAGCGGAAAATCATGTTGGTGAAACGCGGTCAGAATGACATGTCCAATTCGGCTCCTAGCACCTCAAACAGCGTTTGCCGTGAGCGGATCTCTTCCGGAGACATTGGCTATAGGGTAGCCATTTCGGCTATAGACCAGCCATTTTGAAAAAAACATCGTCGAAAAACAGCTTGGCTTTGAAGTTACCGATTGTATTACCCTTGACGACAGCGAGTTGAGCCGGACCCTAAAGACCACAATGTCGGTATTACCGAACGCGTCTTTTGAAGATCGAGATTAAAGTCCATATAATTCGGGAATGCTATCACTGTGCGAAGACCGGCATACTGGACAAAGATGACAAAGCATGCGACGAGCGTTTAGTCTCTGGTACGCCTTACATGTGTACGTATTTGCTCACACACTTATTGCAGCGGAGCTGTCGTAGCTGTTTCCGTTACAGGAAGCTAAGCTAAGATCACCAACTTTCGTTCTGTACTTAGAGCCAGTACGAGTGTAGCGGATCGCAATTCGCATACTCCAAGTGTAATTACAGCCTTAACCATAGGCAAATAAACTCTTTCGTTCATTATGAAAACTTTATTTCTTGTTTTTTTTGCGGCAAAGCCGCCTATATTTAAATCTATAGGCTATTCCTAATTAGATAGTAAAACCTAATAAAAATGCATAACTACTGGCAATCCAGCCACGTAGTGGCTCCATGTTAAGGTGTGTCCACACCATTGTGTGTTCACACCATATTGTGTAATCCACCCCATCATACCAGGATACGTGTAAATCCGTTACACTTATATATATCGTGCGATCAAGATATTAAGACGGAAACGTGCGAAGATAAAATTTCGCGCGGTGATAAAATGGTATCTGGTCGCTAGAATCTCTTGCTTCCCAGCCTTTTCAACGAGGTAGAACTTGTTGCGACTAATCCGTAAGATGTGTGCATCGCCTTGTCAATCGGTGACGACCACATCGTGATGCCGCATATTTTTATATAGTCGTTGACGCAAAATGTAACGGGGGTTACACGTACATTTGTAAGAAAGAGCGAGTCGCACGATCTTGTGCGACCGTACACAGGTGTGTATTACACGTTTAGTGTAATAACACCGTGGTGTGGCTACACCGTAACAAGAAGCCACCACGTGGTAGGATTGCCAGTAGTAATACATACTACTATATTAATCAGGTTTACTATATTAGTTAGGTTTTGCTATATTAATTAGATATTACTATATCAATTTGGAAAACCTAGGGTTTTAGATG